TGTGGTTCGCGTTACTCGAAGGTCAGTTCAATTGTAATAATGTAAGTGACGACGACATAAAATTTCATAATGTCACCAACAATCTAGACCTACAATACGCGAAGGCAGTGAAAGATATTATCATCAACCCTCCTGCAAAAAACCGTTATGAGAAAATTAAATCTGAATTGATTAAACGGTTATCCGCCTCACATGAAAAGAAAGTTAAACAACTACTGACCCACGAAGAACTCTGCGACAGGAAGCCTTCACAATTTTTACGGCACCTCCAAGACTTGGCTGGACCTTCCGTACCTGATGACTTTCTCAGGACGATATGGAGCAACCGGCTCCCGTCTAATATACAGACAGTGTTGGCATCGCAACCTACGCACTCACTAGAGCAGCTTGCAGATTTAGCAGATCGCATACAGGAATTGACGTCACCATACAACGTCGCCGTGGCATCTTCGAGTAGGGGACTTGCGTCACACAAAGATGACGAGATCGCAGAACTGAAGCGGATGGTGCAGCACCTCACACTGAAGTTGGAGGAACATACCCATGCTGCCTGCTGCTCAACCGAGCGTGCAAGGGCGCGGGATCGTCGGCGCTCCACTTCACGACCACGGAGCCGCTCAAACTCCAGCTACCGCAAGTACCCTTCGTGTTGGTACCACGCTAAGTTTGGTGCACAGGCTCGTAAGTGCCTAAAGCCCTGCGACTTCAGGCAGTCGGTAGAGGCGACAAACGATTGCCCATCATCCAATGGTCGCCTGTTCGTCACCGACCGCAGTTCGAATATGCAGTTCCTGGTAGACACTGGTAGCGATTTATGCGTCTACCCTCGTTCTGCACTTCGGGAGCGGCGAGCCAAGACGAACTTCGAACTCAATGCTGCTAACGGTTCGGTTATCGAAACATTTGGTTTTATAGAGTTAAAATTAGATTTAGGCCTTAGACGTAATTTTGCTTGGCGATTTGTTGTAGCTAATGTAACTAAGCCAATAATAGGCGTTGACTTCCTTAGCTTTTATAACTTAATTGTAGATTTCCGTAATCAACGCCTAATTGATAATACCACTACATTAATATCGAATGCAATTTTCGCTAACGATGATATTTGTTCCGTCAAGGTTGCAACAGGCGATTCGCGATATCACGACATTTTAAGTAAGTTTCCGGAAATCACTCGACCGTCAGGCACACCGGTGGCCCAAAGCACAATACGGTACACCATATTAGAACCACACCTGGTCCTCCTATCTCATGTACCCCTCGCAGACTGGCACCGGATAAACTTAAGATTGCCAAACAAGAGTTCGAGCTTATGATCTACAACGGCACCGCGCGTCCTTCTGAAAGCCCCTGGTCCTCCCCCTTACACCTGGCGCCTAAGAAGGATAATAGCTGGCGGCCATGTGGCGATTACCGGATGCTTAATTCACGGACTATACCAGACCGTTATCCTATTAGGCACATCCATGACTTCTCCCATTCCATTTCTGGTTGTACAGTCTTTTCTACGATCGACTTGACGAAGGCGTACAATCAAATACCAGTGTTTGAGGATGACATCCCTAAGACCGCCATCACTACACCTTTTGGCCTGTATGAATTTCCCTTTATGAGTTTTGGGTTAAAAAACGCGGGCCAAACATTCCAAAGGTTTGTGGACGAGATGACAAGAGGTCTGGACTTTTGCTTTTGCTACTTGGACGACTTTCTTGTCTTTTCCAGGAACGAAGCAGAGCACGAAACACACCTCCATCAGCTCTTCAGCCGCATGAAGGAATACGGTGTTCTGGTTAACACCCCTAAGTGCGTCTTTGGGGCATCTGAGGTAACATTTTTAGGCTACCGAATATCCGCCTCTGGCACTAAACCTCTAGAATCAAAGGTTCAAGCCATAACGGACTACCCAGTGCCTAAAAACATAAGGCAACTGCGACGATTTTTGGGGATGCTGAATTTTTATAGAAGGTTTGTACCACACTTCGCTTCAGTTCAAGCCCCCCTTAACGCCTTACTCGCTGGGAGCACAAAAAGCTCTCAACCAGTCGATATTTCTGGCGACACTTTGTTGGCATTCAATGAATGTAAAGAAAGTCTCGCTAACGCTGCACTACTGGCACACCCAGATTGTCAGGCCGAACTCGCTCTGGTAACAGATGCGTCCGACCTGGCAATGGGAGCAGCAGTTTTTGCAGCAGCTGAAAAATAACGTTTGGGAACCGTTAGCTTTCTTCTCACGGAAGCTAAGTCCAACCCAACAAAAATACTCACCGTATGACCGTGAGCTTTTGGCTATCTACGAAAGCATAAAATACTTTCGTCACATGCTTGAAGCCAGACACTTCGTGGTGTTTACTGACCATAAGCCACTAAGTTATGCCTTCAGTGACAGGAAAGCTAACTGTTCGCCTAGGCAGTATCGTCACCTCGACTACATCTCACAGTTCACGACCGATATCCGACACATCTCCGGTAAGAATAACGTTGTCGCCGATCCATTATCTCGTGTCGATGAGCTACAGATGCCTGTCGACCTAAATGTGCTGGCTGAATCACAAGCTTCAGACAACGAACTGACACAACTGCTTCAAGGAGAATCATCACTCCGATTAAAAAAGTTGAAAGTTCCGAATTGTCACACAGAACTTTATTGTGACGTCAGCACAGCTACTCCAAGACCATTCGTGACCAAGCCATTGAGGAGACAAACCTTCGACTGTCTCCATAGTCTCAGTCACCCAGGCTCTAACGCATCGGCGAAACTGGTCGCCGATCGATTTGTTTGGCCTGGGGTGCGCAGAGACTGTCGGGAGTGGTCTCGTCAATGTTTGGCATGTCAACGCGCTAAGGTCCATCGACATGTGTCATCTCCTATGGGCACCTTCGATCTTCCCCGCGCACGATTTGCCTTTATTCATGTGGACATTATTGGCCCTTTACCAATTTCTCAAGGCTTTCGCTATTGCTTCACCGCGGTGGATCGTTTCACTCGCTGGCCAGAGGTTACCCCTATGGTAGACATGTCAGCTGAAACAGTTGGGAAGGCATTATTATCCTGGATATCCAGATTTGGATGCCCAACGGATATTGTCACTGATCGCGGCGGGCAGTTTGAATCGTCACTTTTCCAATATCTTGGGAAAATGATCGGATTCAAACACCGCAGGACAACCGCGTACCACCCAGCTTGTAACGGATTAGTGGAACGATTCCACCGTCAGCTGAAAGCAGCCATAATGTGCCACGCTGATTGCAACTGGGTAGACTCATTGCCTTTGGTGTTATTAGGCATTAGAAGTGCATTTAAGGAAGACCTCCAAACTTCTTCCGCCGAATTGGTGTATGGCGAGCCATTACGTTTGCCCGGGGAATTCTTCCAGGCAACGTCCCCCCACTCCACCGACGTTTCGGAGTTTACCACTCGCTTGCGCCGATACGTATCAAAATTGCAACCAGCACCAGCAGCACGGCACAATAAAGGTAACATCTTTATTTATAAAGAGTTGACTTCTGCCAGTCACGTATTTTTAAGGGACGACACAGTACGTGGGGCATTGCAGCCACCCTACACCGGTCCCCATGAAGTATTGGAGCGAGGGGAAAAGACCTTCAAAATACAGGTCAAAGGGAAACGTATGACGGTATCCATAGACCGCCTCAAGCCAGCCTACATATTGTCTCACACACCTGATTCCCCTCCCACCACCACGACCAATTCCCATCCTAGTTCCCTGCCTGATCCTGTTTCTATAGGGCAAAATACCACGCCACAGGATCTTGTCAGAAGAACGCGTTCGGGCCGCAGAGTTAGATTCCCTGATTTTTATCGCCCGTAGTAACGGTCTCCGGGGGGGAGTGATGTGGCGGCTAAATATTTTAAATTAATATGTATTTGTTAATAATAAATATTTATTTATTAATTCTTATATATGTTTCTCATATCTATATTAAGTATATATTATTTTCACGTTTTATTATTAATCACATGTAGCGTATTCATTTACTAATATTATTTACCAATGTTTACGATCGCTATCAACGTTCAGCTGTGCCGCGACGCGACGCGGCTCACCTAACGTTTTTTTATATACGATTCACCGATCGGGCGCCCGGCAACAGCGATTCCGTCCGAGCCCGTGCTACGTCATAAGACACTCGTGAGGCGCGGTACATTAACTCCTATCGCGAGTCGCTTGTTGCTTCCCGCTGCGCTTACGCTTTATCAGATATTACGTGTTGTCATAGTTCCGCTGTAGTTGCTTATTTTCGCTATCCTCTTTTGTTATTGTTTTGTGCTATCTTTTACTCCTTCTGACTTTCTTCTGTGGTCGTATATGTGTGTAGACAATAAATGTTGTGAACAGTGTATTGACTTTACATATTCACCCGACACACACGAACTCACCTCTTCCACCGCCTACCAAACATATGTATATGTAAACCTATTTATATAGAAACTATTTTAATGATTTAGATCAATTTTTTTATTTAGATCTGGATTTGCTTTATAAAATTATCAAGTTAGAGGGTGTTTTCTGGAAAAAATCAATTATACACCAAAAAATTATTACGAATCACTCTCGTGATAGATATATTGTAAGTTAAATACTTACAATATGGGTATACGGTTATTAAACGTCATTTCTATTGGATGCTATCCCGTGAGCGGGCGCTTATATGACAAAATTGCATAGACAAATAATCTTATCAACGTTACTCACGTTACCAAAAAAATATGATTTTACGGAAAAAAAAAAACTCCGCACTCAAGCTTTCTTCACTCAAGCTTTATTAATAATGAAGCGCCTTCCCTCTAATATTTATTTATGCTGCACAATTATTATTTATTATTTATTCTAAAATAGACTTACTACAAAATTCTCTTTACTTTATATTGATATCCACCATTTCTTATATTAATAACTTTACGATATTTTATATAATTTTCATATTTTCTTAGTCTTAAACGTCATAAACCTTCTAGTCTGCTCCGATTTTTGGTATCAAGTGTTATTAAAATAAAATGCAAAATGTTTGGCCTCCGAGTATACCTCCGAAATACGTGTTGGCGCCAACGCGCCTTCTCTTCTATCTTGTGCGATCTCCTCCCAGTTTTCTGCGTTCAGGGCGCGGAGGTCCTTCACCACTTCATCTTTTTCAGCGCTATCTGGTCCGCCCAACCGGCCTTCGTCCTCCAGGTCATCCATCATAGGCTCTTTTCACGCCTGCATGCATTCTAAACAGCTAAGTCTCGCGGATTTAATCTCGCCCATAATGTTGGGCTCACACACCGAATCTCGTGGCTATTCCATTAGTGTCCAAGTTTCGCAGCCATACATACGATGAATATAATGAAGATCTTAAATATATACGGATCCAATGGAGAATTATAATAGTAAACTAAATTATCAGCTACTAGCTGCCCGCGACTACATCTGCGTAGAATATGCTGATGGCGTAACTTTCAGACAGAAAGACAGATATACATTAATATATATATATATATATATATATATATACAGCGTGTCTTTACCATCGCGACAATAAATGAACACACATATAGAGGATAACTTTTTAAAATTGTATTAAACATTTACATTCTTTAAAGATCAATATTTACAGAGTTATAAAATATTCCAAAACAAAGAAGTTTAGAACACCCTTACGTATAAAACTGTAACGTAGAGTTCATTTGTAAAGGTCACAAAGCATATGAATGAATTTAAAAGAGACAAAACATACTGTTAGAAGGAGAGGCTTGTAATGCGACGCTGTGGCGCGAGTTGTATAGGATGTTACAAGTGTTGTTTCTTTTTTACTTAATTAGTTGGTTTGAAAAATATTTTTTTTAAGTATGGATTATTTTTAACGTTAATTTTTTTTTATGATAATTGGCAAGTAGCATTAGACGTGTGTTCATTTATTGTCGCAATGGTAACGACACGCTGTATATATATATATAGCCTATGTGTTATTCCGATGTATAAGCCGATGTATAATATTATTGTAAAGTTTCATTAAAATCAATTCAGTAGTATTTGCGTGAAAGGGGAACAAACATCCATCCATACATAAAAACTTTCACCTTTAAAATATTAGTAAGGATTTCCTGCGACAAAATGTAACTTATTACGCACTCCATGGCTATTTCAGCGATGCGGTAACCATATCTTATGAATAAAGCAACTAACTCCTCAAATAAAGTAATCGCGTCACTAATAATCGTATTGTACCCAAGTAATGCTAATTCAGAGTTACGAATTATAGATAGCTTTTATTTTTAATAAGTCATGAAAATCTAATTGCCCTCCTTCATTACCACAAGAGTGCATTTTATTCAGTCTCAAGAATGTCAAAAGCGAGAGCCGTTTGCTACATCAAATTGCTTTACCCTTAAAATATACCCTTCCACATTTAAACGCTCTGTCTCTGTCAAAGAGTTATGATATATAGCATAGAAACTACTCCTAAAATGCTCTACTAAGCGTAACAGTTTCATCTCAGTAAGAATGCAACGTTTAGTGCATACGTCATTCTTTTAAAGACTTAAAACATTTATTTAATATACCGAAAATCCATCAACTCTTTGTCTATGTATATTTTATACTCGTCGTATTTACACTAAAATTTGGACAGTGCCTTTTAAAAGTCACCTGCATAAATACGAATGTGAATTCCATGACTGGTTCAATTACGAATGGAATATAAGTGGCAGAGACGAAGAAAATGTAATCTTGTTGTTTGTGTTATGTCTTATATTTACGAAAATACATATATTTATAAGAATAAAGCTATTTTACTAATTTTATTGCGGTTTACTCTAACACAATGAACCATTTCATATACTTATATATCATATACTTATATAACTCACTGTTATATCGGGCTACCGACGTCAGCTTTAGACTTATTAATTTAAATCTGGTCATGCTCAAACAATGTGTCTTGAAGTGTGCATTGTAAAGTTCAGATCTAATTTTATATTCTTATCAGCATACTAAAAGAGCGATTTATTGTGCTCACGAGAGTACTACAAGTTAAAATTAGTATTTATGTATATTTAACGATATCGTGAAATTCATAACTTTGTTAAACATAAAAGGATAAGAAAACATCTAAACAAAAATAATGTTCATTAGTAATAAATGAAAACAGACGGATGTACGCGTTATTATAATAAACAATAGAGGCCCAGAAATTCGGTATAGGATCATATTCTGTCTTGTATCATATATTTTTACGATTCTCTTGGATGTTATTAATTCCGTAACTCTCCTAAATTACTCGAGAACAAGGGCAGTAAAACGCCGTTGCCCAGAATACGGGATACGGTGTGACGCTCGCTAATGAGAACAATCTCTGAACAAATGTGTGTGTCTCTCTGTGTATGACGTTACCTTTATGGAACGTATGGACGTTACCTTACTTTTATGGACCATTTTAATATATAATGTTTTTTTCAATATTATTTATTTTAAAGGTTAATACTCAGATTGGGTTAGCTCACTATGCTGACGATCTGATTTTCAAACACATTAGGCAATTATACATTTTACTATGGTAATGTTTTTTTTAAACTTTATCTTCGCTAAAAGTACTACAAAGTGGATACTGAGATCTACTGAGAACCAAAAAATTTGCTCTGAATAATCAAAATCTTATTCAATAGCTTTTTTTTTTATGGAGAAAAGAGGCAAACGAGCAGGAGGCTCACCTGATGGTAAGTGACTACCGCCGCCCATGAACACCTGCAACACCCGAGGGCTATAAGTTAACTTTAAAATAAAGCGATTCACAAGATTTAATATTTCATTTACGCCTTTTAAACACATTTTCCATAAATTCAAACGAACGAAAAAAAATACTGACCCTGTATTTATAAAAACATTATATCAGTCGTTGAAGGTACATGGAAGTGAAAAATTTAAACTGTGAAATAACAGTGTTATTTTTAAACTTTTTTGAAAAATAACATTCGGTTGATGACTCCGTGACGCAGTTGCCAAGGCTTCGGCGTCGAGGTCCTGGGTTCGATTCCCATTCGGGACAACTATTTGTGTGACCCACAGATAGTTGTTTCGCATCTGGGTGTTTGTCTGCGTGAAATTTCTATTATTTCATTTTATTCTATTATTTTATTATTTTATCCTAAAGTAAGGGCAATGTTTTTTATAATAAAAAAAAATAAAAAAAAAACACATGTATGTAATATGTGCCAGTGTCAATGCGAACATAGTGGGCAATGTTTTCGCTTAATATTGTTTAATCGCAACGGGGACTCGTCGGTGGCACGCGTTCTATCGGGAAACGATTGGTTGTATAGTTGACAATATTTAATGACAAAATGGATTTTAACTTCGCACACTACCGCATCCATTGTCCCAGGACAATCTGAGATGTTTAACACCCTGAGTTTAACGCAGGCTGCAGTCAACTTTAAATGATTAACTTAGTTTAACCCTTTAGAAAGTACTTCTGTAGAATAAGAAGTTTATTGTATTATAACAAAATCTTATTACTTATAATAGTTCTTTTCAATTATGAATTAGCATTATAGATAGAAATAAGGATGTTTCAAGATCGTCGGCAGAAGTTATAAAATAAATAAATATTTTAGGACACGTTTTTATACAACGTTCTCTAGTCCCAAACTAAGCAAAGGTTGTACTATGGGTACTAGATAATTGATAAACATACTTTTCATTTGTAAATAAATACATGTTATACATATATAAACACCCAGCCACTAGAAAAACACTGTTCATCACACACTATTATTCCAGTAGTGGGGATCGAACCCACACCCTCTGGCGCAGGAGGCAGGTACACTACCCATTACGCCATTCGGGTCGTCAACTGTAACAGTTGGTTTTTCTCTTGCAAGTAGTTGTGATCAATGAAAGATCTATAACAGTTGGAGCAATTAAAATTGTATTCAGAGACTATAGAACTGCTTGTGTGATAATCATCATCAGTAATAAAATCGTAGGCAAAATCGAAGCAGAAAATTCGCAATAGACTTCTAAACATGTTTTTTTTTATTTTATGCTCCATGTGTATGGTACTATGCATGTATATTCGTAATGAAATATTCGAAAGCTCTTTTCACCCACTTTAAAACGACACATGATAATGTCATTTTGAAATGGGTGTTATTATTTTTAGTTTTTTAACTATTGTTAGTTATTGACAAAAAAAATTAGACTACCGTAAATCGTTCACTGACATATAAGGCAAACAAATGCTGCGGCTTATTCTGTGTGCGAGGTTAAAACAGTTTCAATTAACATTTTTTTTATCAAACAGACTTTCGCGCTTCTATTTTGGAATTGATTATAGAAACACCATTTTTTTATGTTAGAAAATGGCAAACGAGCTGGCGGTTCACCCGATGTTAAGTGACAACCGCCGCTCGTGGACATTTGCAACATCAGTAGGGTTGTTAATGCGTTGCCAACTTTAAATACAGTGGGCCCCGGCTATCACACTCACCAGGCGAAACGCAGAGGTGTAAAACTTCTACTTTACGCCGGTCTTCTGTGAGGTCGTGGTACTTACCCGGACGGAGCTGCCCAATCGTGGAACAGTGAACACTGTTGCGTGGCCCTACCACAGTTAGGGGTTAAATAAGAGATATTGTTCGTCTTATCGCCACTTTAGTCTTTTATGTATTTAATTCTATCGTTTTCTAATAAAAAACCTGGATGGCACTATTTCAATTAGCAGTTTAAAATACATTGGTTTTTTTTTTTTATCGGTAATACGTTTTTGGTAGAATGATAACCAAAGGAATATTTGAGTTTATAAGAGAATTTATGCTACTTACCATTTTAATTTGGCTCCCAACAAGTTTGTCAGATATAAAGCAGTTTATTAACTTAGCTGTATGTTGTACAACGTAGCACTACGACATAAGAGGCTTACGCCAGTTTTTCTGCTGCTGTGTGCTGTTACCGAAAACTCCATAATCTCCATAGTTTTAAAGATGAAATTAAAAAAAGCTATCAATTTTTTCGTTATTATATTAAGAAGAGATTTCAAGTAAGATATTTTGCTGTTTGCATATATATCCTATGATATTTTTCTGCTATATTAGATATTTCTTCGAAAAGTTGGCATACTTTATAATGAGAGCCTTCCTACTTCTACCTCATAGCCAACCCGATGGTAACGCAGTTACCATTAGGGATCACTTATCACTTGATCGTTT